AATATCAAATTAATCATTTTATACACTACATTTATATTATTTTTATATTTCATATTTATACGGTAAATCCATCTTATGGTATTAAAAGTTAAGAAATTTCCATATCCATATCATGTTTATAACTTTTAATAACAATTGATGTGACATCTGAGCGTAGTGTGCTATCATCTCCAGTAAAAATCTCAATTTCAGCATTACTTAAAATTTTCTCGAATGCACCTTGACGATACTCAAAACAAGAAATATTCAGTATACGTTGAAGGAAATTATACCATTTTCCCACGGCATACTGAAATACTTTGTTCGCTCCTCCAATTACGATCGCGAATTACCCCATTCCCACGGGCACATTCTTAATTCGATTTGACAGTTCGCTGTCTCTGTGTTTCATTTTTGTTTTTCTTCGCTGCAAAATTAATGCAAAATGTAGGTTCTTCCTAAAAGTTTATTGGTTTCCGTATTAAATTAGGGATATACACATCTTACTTTTCGTACTCAGAAATAATGGTAATTGGATCTGAATTACCAACAAATGCGGTAATTCGCTTTCAAAATTTTGTATGGCGGATTACGTAATTCGAAGGGTAATTGGAGTGCGAATTACGAATGAGAAAGCGAACTACGTAATTGGGGTGCCGTGGGAAAGCCGTATTACTATCATATGTACAACCAAGAATGATAGAATACAAGATTGCGCAAATCGAGCTGAGAGCAACTGGCCGTGACGTCAAAAAATACCAGAATGAAAGAGCAAGACGAACTCGACAAGAAAAAGAGGAAGCATCGAACAAAAGGCAGTATTGCCAAATTATGAATTTGAAAAAGCACCAAATTCTTATTGGTGTATTTTATGGACTTTATATGCATACATGATTTTATTGTAAGGACGCCAATTCAAATTAATAAACATCAATGTTTCTTGCACGACGGTCGATTTCTTCTGGCTGAATTGAAGGTGCTGCCACATATTTTGTTGTCGCTTATGATTGTCACTGTGCCATGATTTTGTTTAAGTTATTGTTATTGTAAAGTTGCTTACCACACTTGTTTGGTGTCCTCAGACTAAAAACAAAAGCAGCAAAAACGCACCAACACCAAACTCTAAAATTTTCGCGTTTTGAATACCCACTAAATTTGGTGCGAAAAGCATCAAGTTGGCAACAGTGAATGTAAACAGAATTATTTTATGACGTCAGCGATTAGGTGGATGCTGTCAAATCGTCGAAGAGAGGGTTAGCGGTCCGCGTATGGCGCGACTTTTATTTTCTGGATCGTGATGTACAACGAATTCCTAGCATAATATTATTTTCATATTAAAGCTGAAAATGTCTATAAAAGGGATGTGAGCTCTCAATTATTCCCGAAATATTTCTCTTTTTGTATTATATCTTGCCTAAATTCTTCTATGGTTTCCTGTGTTGTGAAACACTTTTTCGGATTAGATGTAGGTGCTTCTGATGTTGTTTCAGGGATAGATGTTTTGTTTTCGTCTTCTTTTAATCCATTTTGGCCACTTTGAGTCCATTTCATTAGTTTAAAGTTCAGTTTTATGTTTATAGTATCAATATTGGGTAGTCAAATCAATAGGTATTGTAGATGAGAGTACTTGAATAGTTAAAATAAATACATTTTGGTAATATAATAAAATTATATTTCGTTTTAAGTTTCTTTTATGAAAACCACGATACGTTCTTTAGTTAGCGGTTGAGATATAAATGAAATAGAAAATTATAATCTATTAATTTATATATATATATGGGTCCTTCCATACAATATTTATACCTCAATAATTTTTTGGGGTGAAATATACTTTTTTACATTCTTTATAGAAAAAAGAAGACAGCTATTATTTTATTTCGTCATGATATTCGAAAATCTCGAAAAAAAATCCCGAAATTTTTAACTCACGGAGAAGTATCTTTTTTCAATTGTTTGCAGTTAATAAACCATTTGTCGGAGAAAATCAGTCAAGGTATCAGAATGTGCGTATTTACCTCGGCTTTCCATGAGAGTGTGAGATAGGTTAAAATAATCATGTTTGATTTTAATTTTTTTAACCTGAATAGTTGTCAAACTTTACGTAGTACGCTGTACAAATTTGAGAATGGAAACACCAAAACTGTTAAGTTTTTTCACAACGTTAAAAAAAATAAAAAATGCGATTTTTTAACGCAATTTTTTATTTATTTTAATATTGAGGTGTAAATATTGTATGGAATGACCCATATACTTTATATATTACATATATATACATACCTCTTTATTTTTATCATTCAAATTATTATTTTTATCGTTAGTGTTGTCATCGATAGTATTACCTTTAATTAAATTTTGAACATCCTTCTTCTTCAACATACCGCCTAGCTAACACATCAATTTCTCTAAACACGTAAGTCGGGTTAAAACTATTTACCAACTATTACAATCATACCCCAACAGTTTCTATTTTAACATGTTGATTATAAGAAAATTGAAATGATGGAAGATTTGAAGCTATTTGTTGAGATCTAGCCAAACATAAAATTTGCGATCTAAACCCTCCTTCAGCAGTAAAAAATACCTCTAAGGTTTTATCTGTTGCTATACCGTTAATAATATTAAAACTTTTCCATTGAGCATGGCAAGTACAATATCTATTATTAGGTTTCACGGTTCGAAACCAATACATATTGTTTTATGTTTATTTAGTATTAATATATATATTTATGAATCATAACAGTTTTCATTATAATTTATAAAAAATGCATTTTAAAAATTTTGTTTGCGTTAATCATAGGAATAACCTTGGCTTCATCATTGCTTTCCTAATACATTAATGGTAAACTGTTGATAAAGAACATATTTAAATGTATATTTTAGTAATCTATTTATACATCATAATATGATTCAATTAAAATAGGTGCATT